GTGTAAACTGCAGAGTTCTGGCCATTAGATGTAGCTCGTCTGTGTTGGGACATTCTTTTGAACAGTGGCTGCTTTGGTTCCCTGATCTCACCAGACCGTCTGATCTTGTTTAGTATATCAGTCTTCAGAGGTTTATAGTAACTGAGTACATTTACTTTGTTACAGTACTTAGTAGTTTTTGAGGATTTGTAATTGTGCTAAAAATGCTTCCCCTCCCATGTAACCGATTCAAGGCTTAATTAATTCAGGTTTACACCAAAATCCTGGCTTAATCCCTTAATCTGGAGCAACAACCTTTGTGTCTAACCTGTGTGTCTAACCTGTGTGTCTCACCTGTGTGTCTGTCTCCAGGTCAAGTGTTGGGTTCTGGTCCATTTGGGTGTGTTGTTGAAGCGACAGTGTCTGGTTTGATTCATTCTGGTTCAGTGAATAAAGCAGCGGTGAAGATGGTCAAACGTAAGTTTCTTTCTGTCTTCCAGTCCTGAATCGGACTAAAAACCTGTCTGAAAMTGTAAACCTGGGTTTTTGCAGCCAGAACTAGCTCGGTCCAAAGCCTGATGGCAGAGCTGAAGGTTTTGGCTCATCTTGGTCCTCACCTGAACATTGTCAACCTGCTGGGAACCTGCACGAGAGGAGGTACATGCTGTAATCCTGACCTCAACTCAAACCTGACAAGAATTATTTTAAATAATAAAAACTTTCCAGCTGCTAAAAGGCCACTAACCCTAAGCTGTGCTAATGAAACCCTGGTCCTGAGTCCATGTCTTCAGAACTTTGAATTAGGTCYGTTGGTCCATCCAGGTCCCGTCTATCTGATCACTGAGCTTTGTTGTCATGGAGACCTGCTGAGTTACCTGCAGAGGAACAAAGCCACTTTTCTCCMAAWGGACACGCCCACCAACAGGTGACGACTCTCTGTCCCTGACCACAAGTCACCTGTTTGGCTTCAGATGTAGCATGAAACAAACTTTACTGTTCTCTCCAAAACGGTGTCACCAGTTGGTCTGAAGGATTAGTTCCTGAGTCCAGACCCCCTGACTGTCCCCTGACTGTCCCCTGACTGTCCTCTCTGTCTCTGACTGTCCTCTCTGTACCCTGACTGTCCCCTGACTGTCCTCTGACTGTCCTCTGACTGTCCTCTCTGTCCCTGACTGTCCTCTCTGTCCCCTGACTGTCCTCTCTGTCCCTGACTGTCCTCTCTGTCCCCTGACTGTCCTCTCTGTCCCCTGACTGTCCTCTCTGTCCCTGACTGTCCTCTCTGTCCCCTGACTGTCCTCTCTGTCCCTGACTGTCCTCTCTGTCCCTGACTGTCCTCTCTGTCCTCTCTGTCCCCTGACTGTCCTCTCTGTCTCTGACTGTCCTCTCTGTCCCTGACTGTCCTCTCTGTCCTCTCTGTCC